AACATCCTGCAGAAATATGATAATCAATCAATATTGGGAATGTTCTCAGTCAATGGGTCAATGGATGATTTACAGAAAGCCTATGGTGAGGACGATTAAAAAAAAGTAAACATGATAATATCATGTGGTCAGTGGTCACATATCTGTAAACCCCAACATCCATCAATTGTGTGCATCATTAACAATAAATCAGGGTTGTGATGGGCAGTCAATTTGAAAAAAAAAAAAGAGAGAGAAGAACAAGTAAACATTAGGACAAACCTGCAGTAGCTCAAAGTAGTGCATACAGTGGTACACTGGGACCATCATCAGCTGGGGAAGGATATATTGCACAGCTTCTTTAAAGCCTTCTGTAACTGACTGCAGAAACAGAAAGAGAAAAATTAATAAGAAGAACACTATGAACAGATTTGACCAACCAACATAACAGAAGATTTTCCACCTTAATACAAAAAGAGTCTTTTTCCCCCTAAACAGCATTTAACTCAGAAAATCTGTTTCAAAACAAAAACATTTCCCCATCCAGAAAAAAAAAAAAAAAAAAAAAAAAAAAAAAAACACATTTAGAAATGCAATATGCATTTATTTATATGTAAGTCACAGAGAAGTTATTTTAAAGTGAAACTGAAAGTTGAGTGTTTATGCTGGATGTGTTTAGACCTGTCTAAAGCTCGCCTTTCGTGCCTCCAGGATAAGCCAGTGTACAAGTGTACGGTTGCAGTCATGCATTCAACTCAAACGATAAATGAATGACAAAAATTGATCATAAAAAATGACTAAAATGTCGGCCCTGACTAAAAATACAAAACGCACAGTCGGCCAGCAAAGACAGATAAAATGGGTACATCCCAGTCTGTTAATGTGAAATCAGCCCAGATGAGAGGGTGCAGGGGGGACCAGGGGGAGCAAGAAGCAGTTGATCAACTAAGGCAGAGGTAACCAGAAAGGGAGGGGTGTCACAGTATCCTTTTAAAGCTCCTGTTCCCCAGATAGCCGAATCAGAATCAATACGTTCGTACTCAGACTCCTCTGCAGCGACCACAGTCTCTGCATGCAGGGAAGAAGTCTGGGGGGAGGGGGATCGTGTGCATTAGAGAAAGCCATCAGCTGCCTGATGCACCCAGATGGACAGCAAGGGAACAATGATCCAAGTTTAGATCGTGTTATTGATACGTCAGCATCCTGCAGATTCACAAAGTGTACACGTGCTTTTTGTCACCGTTTTGAGACTTATCATAGTTTTAAGATATAACGCTTACAGGGAACCTAAGGAATCCATGTATTTATATTCATGTTTGTCACCCAATTCATGAGCATGTAGTCAACTTATTTCTGTCCAGAGTGGGTGCAATCACACAAATATAAAAGAAAAAACAATAGAGAGAAATGGACTTTATGATTTACTGACTATTTTGTAACTTCTTCTGTAAATCTGATGTCATCAGAAATCTGGAAAAGGTGCTTACATGCCACAGGATCCTGCTTTCCACTGAAGCAATGCAGCTATGCATCACAAACCCAGTGTGAAACAAGAATTTTCATACACAACAGAAACCTCACAGATAAATAGCATGATCTGTACCTGAACCCTGATCTAGATGCTTTCAGTGAAGATTCGACAACTTGGTGAGACTATTGATCTTAAGAGTCTTTAAAGAAAACAAAACTAGCTTTCCATTTGTAATAAATTTAAACTTATCATACATCTATCTCTAAAGGGATATGCATCATTTTTGCTTTTGGCCCCCGACCCTCCTCTTCACCAGGAGAAAAAAAAATGTCCTGCAGTGTGGCTGGCTGTTCTATTTTTAAAAGGCGATGTAATTTACCCACACTAGCAGACGCTGCAGAGTGCAGGGGCTGAGTGCTCGACAGACGCATCTGTCTGACAGAGAGGAGGGGCAGAAAGTCAAGAAGGGTGGAAAAAGAAAGATGAAGCACATGCTTTGAGACAAAAGCTGAAGAGGAGAACCAATGTGGCCACTGCCACAGGTTTGACTGGAACGTGTGCCAATTCATCCAGGTGTTCTAGATACAACTGAGCGTGCTGGATAAAGAAGGTAGAAAGAAGATGAGATGAGTCACTGGTTGGCAGAGAAACACCATTACACCATCTCCCGTTAGGACAACTGATGATCAACACGTATATATGTTAGAGTTGGATGTCTCGAGACCGGTCTTGGTCTCGAGACCGGTCTCGAGACCACTTTTACGTGGTCTTGGTCTCGTCTTGGTCTCGACGGACTTTTGTCTTGGTCTCGGTCTTGGTCTCGACGGACTTTTGTCTTGGTCTTGGTCTCGCTGTCTCGGTCTTGCGCTCTCAAATCGACATAGTGTTCGGGAGATTTGGAGTCAACCATCAGCGGAGCGGGGGGTGTCTTACTGGGCTTAAGCCCGTGTCATTTTTTCAGAAGCATGGGGTTTTTTGGAGTGTAATTTGTTTGTTAGATGCCTGACTGACAACTGTATAAAACAAAAACAACACACGAAGCACAGAGCGCACCGTCGTAAATTCCCCCTGATTTTGGTATGATCCGAGCTTTGGCACTAGGCGACTGAGCACAGCACCCATGTGAGCGAGGGGGGAGAAGCTGCTGCTTGCGAGTTTGCTGCAGAGGAGAGCTTAAGTTTGACCAGGTACCAACGGAAATCATTCGTACTGAACTAATAATGTAAATATGACGGTGTATCACAAAAGATTGATATCAAACTGATCACTTGGTTGCGTTACTTACTCTTCGAGTGAATCAACAAATGGATAAATAAAAAGCCGAACGACAATGCTGATTTTTTTTTAGAGAGTCTTAGCTTACATCTCATATTTTCAGTTGTTACCCTCCACGGCTAAACAAACTCTCTAAATCGGTTTCAGTTGTGTACTGATGAACACAACAATGGACATAAGGAGCTTCTTTCAAAGAAAAAACTCAGGTAGATGTTATTTTATATATTATGCTTTGTATGTTGTTCAGTATATCTATGCAAAAC